GAGCTTTGTTAGTTTTCCTTATTAAGGTTTTCGTGAAGAAAACTCAAGTTCATATAAATACAAATATCCTGAAGTCACTGTTCATAGGTATATGCTGGATATTATAAATACAAATATCCTGAAGTCACCGTTCATAGATATATCCTAGAGATCGTAAATACAAAAATCCTGAAGTCATCGTACATAGATATATCCTGGATATTGTAAATACAAATGTCCTGAAGTCACCGTTCATAGGTATATCCTGGATATTATAAATACAAATATCCTGAAGTCACCGTTCATAGATATATCCTAGAGATCGTAAATACAAAAATCCTGAAGTCATAGTACATAGATATATCCTGGATATTGTAAATACAAATGTCCTGAAGTCACCGTACATAGATATATCCTGGATATTGTAAATACAAATATCCTGAAGTCATCGTACATAGATATATCCTGGATATTGTAAATACAAATATCCTGAAGTCACCGTTCATAGGTATATCCTAGAGATCGTAAATACAAAAATCCTGAAGTCATCGTACATAGATATATCCTGGATATTGTAAATACAAATATCCTGAAGTCACCGTACACAATTCATAAGAATTCGTTGAGTGCAAAACAATGAAAATTTTTCAAGGCTGGTATTGTTATAGAAAAGTCAATATTCAATGGGACAGAGCATTAATAGACCATAATTGTTAAAATCTTAAAATTACTAATGAAATACTATATCAATAAAAAGAGCAATACAAAGTTTGTTTAAATCAGAAGTTTCATTTGTATTTTCCTTAAAGTCTCTCTCTCTTTTTTGTAACTTATCTAATTTTTAAGTTTAGCTTTTTACGGCATTTATGTAAAACTTTTCATAGAAAGTGAATCACAACCTGAAGACACCGACGATTTAAAACAAAACATTGTGTGTGTGTGTGTGTAGTAGTGTAAATATAACTTCATCATCCATAGAATGTAAATCACAACCCGAAGACACCGACGATTTAAAACAAAACGTTTTGTGTGTGTGTGTGTTATTCCATATATTCAAAGGCTTTCACATGCCATCCTAAATCTTAGTTTAAAACAATTAAAGAATACAACATGGATTCACATTTGACATTTTTCTTCCTACCAACAAGAAAACTAGATCAAATTGTATCGCACAAATTTATTAACAAGGGTACTTTAGGATCCTTGTGTCAAATTACATGTAAAGACTTGGTAATTCTTAAATTGGAGAAACCGGTTGACAAGTGTCTACAAGATTTGTGTTCGAGAAAAAAGCTCAAAATAATCACTTATTTTTTCGGAAGTTAAAATAAGTGACATAGAAAATATAAATAGAAGAAATATCAAAGAAGCTATCTTTATTAAAAGACACAATCTAGCGTTAACCGGTATTTGGATGTAAAATTACATTTATTTTAATATGGGATTTTCATCTATTTAACTATCGTGTTTGACTTATTATACTTAGCATATAGTATCACTATTGATAGTACACTACCAAACGGTTTTGTTCTGTTCTTGATAAGTATTCACCTGTGGAAACTTAGCATTTTAAAAAATATAATAAAAATGTCTTTTAAAGACACAATTACTTGTTTCATCCGTTCCAATTTAGGTATCTATTGAGTTGATAATGACTAAAATTAACCATAAGTGTATTATTATCATTTATAAATCAAAGACAAACTATTTTAATGTTCAGAAAACGTGTAAAATGTACACTTTGACATATAAAACTTTGGTAAGTCATCTCAGAGTGAAAAGTAAAAATTACTGATTTCACAAATAACTTCATTGACGTTTAATTTTTCTAAAACACAACCTCTATTTTTATGTAAGGAGAAACTGATACATATTAAAGCTTTAGCATGATGATTGTCTTTGAAATATCAAGTCCAAACATTTTGAGCCCTCCAATGACTCAGAAGTGTCTGAAGTTTTATAACGCTAAAACTCGGATTTCGATACCCGCAGTAGGCATAGCACAAAAAAGCTCATTTATGTAGCTTTGCGCTTAGCAACAAATATTTTTACAGCAAAAAAAAAGGAGTCAAAAATCTCGTTTTTGTCTCTTAGGATCAAAGTCCATTTAACGCGCAACGTGAAAAATACATAACATAAATACATAACATGCATGTTATGAACTATGAATACTTCAATCTTTGTTGTTGTTTTTAATTGTGTTCTCTCATTTAGATTTGTAACTACATTCTGCATTAAGTACGAACAAACAAATGAATGTAGTTTACTGCAATGTCTGCATAATGTTGACATGTATGAACGTTAGACAGAGGTCAGTAATTCTAAAAGTGAATTTAAACTAGATAACTCATCACTAAACAGGCGAGAATTTGATCAATGATATGGGCGAAGAGTGACCTTTATCTTACAAAGTAAGAGGCAGACAGACCTTCATTTGTGAAATAATATGAAAGGGTAGATTTCTGTCTTATATTTAAAAAAATTTCGTTGTGATTATACGAAACATTTGTCCATACTTTAACAATTTTGTACTTAGTAAAATAAATGTTAAACATGTTTAAAATAATTTGACACTATAAACGGTTTGGTTTGTTTCGAGTTTCCCTCAAAGATACTTGAGGGTTATCTGCGCTAGCTGTCCCTAATTTAGCAGGGATCGCAGCTAGTCAATACTACCCACCGCCAGCTCTTGGGCTACTCTTTTACCGATGAGTAGTGGGATTGACCGTCACATTATAACGCCCTCACGGCTGAAAGGGCGAGCATATTCGGTGAAGTCGAGCGCCCTAACAACCAGGCCATGTCAATTTCCTCTATAAACTAACGTGCAACAGATATAATACAAACTTTGCATCATAAGTTCAACGTAGGCTAAAGCAAAACGAATATATACAATATGCTTTCACACAAATATTTAAACAATATCAAGTTTTTTTTGTAGATAACATCATTCACTAATATCTCTATACTTCTGCATATTTATAGTCAGCTTTTATTTTGTAATATAATATGCTGATAGAGAAACACTGGTATTTTCAAGGTTTGCACGCAGATGATAGATGCTACAGCTTCAAAGTTTAGAGATAAAGATATCCTTCACTTGACCTTGTGCGCAAGGTTATGCGAACTTTATTGCCGTGTCTCGTGAGCATTCTGAGCATTGAAATTATAAGGCCGTACAACCTGCTAATCAGTTGGAATCTATTACAACATGGTGTATATTTGTAGCTTATTTACAAACTTCCTACCAAATACGTCAGAAAACTGAGATCACAACTTTTCAGACCAATTCATCTAAATATACCTGCTAGTTATAATATAACATCAAAACTAACGGTATTATTGTGCAACCATTTTAAAAATATAGGTTGAAGGTAAGTCAATAAATGAATATTGTGCAACTGTTACAAGATCTTTACAAGGCGCAAATATTTGATAAAATCGATATAACAATATATATATTGAAGACCAATTAGTCGAATAATGAAATGAGTCTTAGAACTTGGCAAGTATACGTACATAGACTTAAAAGTTACACAATATATACATAAATATTTCATTCTTACAGGTAATTGATATAATTATTGCATATATATTATATGTAATATATTCGTTTCATTCTGTGACTAAGGCTCGTTTGTGATATCTCTCTACATATATATATATATATATATATATATATGATATGTAATATATTCGTTTCATTCTATGACTAAGGCTCGTTTGTGATATCTCTCTACATATGTATAAATATATATGATATGTAATATATTCGTTTCATTCTGTGACTAAGGCTCGTTTGTGATATCTCTCTACATATGTATATATATATGATATGTAATATATTTGTTTCATTCTGTGACTAAGGCTCGTTTGTGATATCTCTCTTCATATGTATATATATATGATATGTAATATATTCGTTTCATTCTGTGACTAAGGCTCGTTTGTGATGTCTCTCTACATATATATATATATGATATGTAATATATTCGTTTCATTCTATGACTAAGGCTCGTTTGTGATATCTCTCTACATATGTATATATATATATGATATAGTTTTGGTGGCTCATCATGCATGGTTAAAATCATTGCTGGGGAAGTCCCAATTTTTCACAAACTGCATGAATGTTCTAGTAACTTCTGTGAGAACACCTATATCTCCTGGTAATTCGGATCTTATAGCTTGTAACAAGAACATTTCAAAGTAGTTACTAATAATCATTACAGTTGGAGTTTCCACGTACTGTTAGGAAAACACTGTTCTGAAGTCTGTATATGTTTTTGTCAATCTATTTTAAAATAAACATCTAGTGCTACTAGTAAGCAATACCTTTAATTTTCATCTTTCAAATTCACATGTAATAGAATGAGATATGCCTTAAATTTTATAAATTCAAACTGTAAATGGAAAGGAAATATATATATATGTAGAGAGATATCACAAACGAGCCTTAGTCACAGAGTGAAACGAATATATTACATATCATATCGTTATTTTTTAAAACTTTTATAGAAAAAGCAATTAATATTTTGTTGGATGTCGGTTTCTTTTTCAACTGGTTCATGCGAAGAATATTCAATATAAAGAAACGTATAATGATTTCGGTAATTTTACATGGTTATGTAAATTAGTATTTTCAAAATGCCTCTAACTTGCTGTTGATGTGCCAAAAAATGGTACAGCTTCTCAATAATGTATTTTCGCCTTAAGCTAAAGTAACATATTTTCAGATTAACAGTTTCGTTTTGAATTTACTTACTGATTATAAGTATTATTTTATTACAAGTTACAACTTTTACATATTTAAGTATTCTTCCTTACTGTAAAAGCTGTAACTTGTCAGAATGTTCACTGGCCTATATAGAAGAGCATGTATGAATGTTGTATATTTAAAAATAACCAAACTAAAATATTTAAACCTCTTAGTTTAATGTTATTTTGCGTGGTCTATTGGCTTATACCCAACTCACGTGATTTGACGTCATAAGGCGTTGGCGCTCATCACAAGTGATCATCCTGGAATGGTGCGGGATAGGTCCCATATTAGAAGGGAACAGAATTGTTCCAGTGTGCTTGCTCTTTGCTCGAGTCTCCGTTCTAGGATTACAATTTTTCATGCTGGCTATATAAAACCTAGAAACTTATACGTGAGCTCGTAATTTCAGCAAGAAAGCTGGTTTTAGTCAATAGAACTTGATAAGTTACATTCTCATTACAAGATGATGCGATTTCTGTTGGAATTGGCGTTTTTCTCCTTACTATTGCTAGTGTTTGCACTGGGTAAGTGAAACTACTTTTGTCTTTCGGAAAGTAAAAAAAAAAGAAAGAAAAACAATCGTTTATGTTAAGTAGTGTTTGGATTTTATCAGTTTATCAAACACATATTCGTTCTAACACTTATGTATTCGCTTTCCTTTTAATTCAAACTAGCAGGGTGTCTCTTGCAGCGGACAGATACATACCTGGCTCCAGAACAAGAACACGCCCTTTGCTGTAGCAGACAAATACTATAAATTGTCTTTAAAATAACAGAGCCCAAAAAGGTAGTGTCCCAAATACTGGGAAAATGTGCACGTGGGCTTAAGAATTGATGTTGCCGAACAAGATAGACTTTTTGCTTTGAAATAACGACGCTTATATAAACTTAACAATTTATACAGTTATCAATATCTTCCGAACATAAACATTAAATCCAGCGTGGCACACACACACACAATAATAATAATAAACTCGTGTTTCGACTTAGCGGTGGTATTATCAGATGCTAAGATATATAAATATAGTTGTAAGTTATTAAGACTTGACTAATCTTTTTAACGTATACCAGAAAGAACAATGATCCTATTACGATTTACAACTTAAACCAATTGCTTGTATATTCCACATCCCAGACAGCTTATGACACAAGTAAACAGTTTGTAATACTCTTTTTTAACAAAAACAATCCTATTTTAATGTTTAGGCCACAGTATTATGCAACTTATATGTTTGGCAATCCCCTTCAGATACTAATGCAATTGGTGCTTTGGTGTCCGTATCAGATTTTAGATGCCTGAAACAAATTCATAACTTCCATACAGATATATATTTAAATATGTCTCAGCACAGAGGCAGGTGCAGTTCATAAAACTTTAGTTGGGATCTTGTATAGTCTACTCTGCCTAAAACACTTTAATAAACAAACAAATAACTACTTTAATACAAACCTACATAAAGTTCGTTTGTTTATTGTGCTGTGTCCATCTCAGTTATAGCATTAAAAAGCCTTAAGCTTACCATTGAACCACCTACACACATCCCTTTAATTTTATGTTTTCGTACTTTTATAACAACACTGATTTTTTTTAAATGTCAAATATCTAAGTTTGCTCCCTATTTTATCAATTTTATTCACTTTGTTAAGGACTTGACATCAAACTTGTACATCTTTACAGAATGTGTTTGTGACTTCCGTCTCACACATACAGTAATAATTTAGTACTGTGTACGTACCTAGTATACTTAAACATTTGTTTAACTCCTGTGATAAAAACCTTAAATGTCTGTGCTATCTATGTCATATATATGTATATCTGTGGGTGTGTATTCTTCCACACCGAAGAAATATATTTCTGCAGTTATTTTTATGCCTTATTGTTGTTTCATACCAAAGATACACAATAGGCTACCTGTGCTAGGTTAATTTCGGAGATTCGAACCCCGAATTTTACCATTGTAAAAGTTATAATTTATCGCTGATCCATCGGGGACATTTATGTCTTCTTTCTTAGACACGTTGTTAACACAGGCGGGCTCGGTATTGTGTTACTCATTATAGAGCTCTTCAAGTTGGAGGGTGCATACGGTAGTCTACTTCCGGCCTTGGAACATCTGCTGATGGGGGTCTGCAGAACTCCCTCTCCCACAAAGGCTTCACTACTTTAATCACATATAATGACAACGCCAAGCAGAGATGAGCTGACGTCATAGTTTTATCCTCCTTACCCAGCACACAAAGGCATTTTCAGTTTGCTCTGTATTATAAAGTTTAATAAATGTAGACTAAGGCTAATAATATTGATTTAAAAAACAATCAATGACCTCGTGAGCTTTGAAGAAAGTAGCAATGATTTATAACAGTCCCATGAAAGAGAAATATATTACAGTGGACACTAATGTTTATGCAGTGTCGAGTAAACGGGAGAGCTTAATTTGGCTGTGTACCTGTTTCAGGCTAGATGTTCTTGTCGATATTAGCATGGCTTTCAGTTTCAGTTTCGCTCTAAGTGCGTAGCTTACGCTTATCAAAAGTTCTTAGTATTTCTCTCAATTCTAAGTATTGTTTCTGTTGAATCTACAAGGACAAGTTTATTATATTTGTTTTAACATAAACTCGTTACTCTGATTTTATGTTCAGATTTAAACCTTGTGTGTGAATATTTTCAAAATTCATATTTTTCTTTAAATTATTTCAGGCTTTCTTAGAACTTTTATTAAACTGTTTTTGTTTTTGTTGTTGTTTTTAATCATTTTTACACAAAGCTACAGAAAGGCTATTGTGCACAGCTGTTCCTAAGTTTGAGCTGACAGACTAAAATGAAGGTAGCTAGTCAACAGCTAATTCTTGTCCTGTTTTTATAAAAAATTGCAAGCTTTATGACGTAAGCTACACACCCTACACCCATAGAACAATGAAATAGACTATTTAGTGTATATAATTTCTGCCACCAGAAAGTTTACTCGACCATCTTTTAACTAACATAAAAAACAAAAATTGTTGTATAATATTCATTGATTACGAAATAAGGAGTTATTTCCTTTTTTATTATTATTGAGGAACAGACGCTGTTCAAAATATTTGTACACAAAATTTCTTAGAAATCTTAATAACTTCAACTTCAAATTACATACATGAATAAAATATACTTTAAAATTATTGGGTGTCTTGTGTTTTAATTTTGTAATTTTTAGCCGCGGCTCATAGAACGGCTCTGAGCTTCTCAAGTATAAAGTTATAGCTCGTAGCTCCGTCATATCTTGACCGATTTGAGATGTAATTACACTTTTGGACTCAGCAGGTCAGACTATTTCGATTCATGTATTTGACTACCCCCAAGGTCTCATAGATTAATTTACTCTAATCCTGCTTAAAAGAATTTCAATTTGAGGGTAGGCTGGTAGAGATCCTGATGAGTAATAAACTTGAATTGGGTATACGCGCGCCCCACGCTTGGTATTGCTGGCACACAACTTTATTGTTCGTTTGTTTTGAATTTCGCGCAAAACTACACAAGGGCTATCTGCGCTAGCTGTCCCTAATTTAGCAGTGTAAGACTAGAGAGAAGGCAGATAGTCATCACCACCCACCGCCAGATCTTGGGCTACTCTTTTACTAATGTAGCATAAATATATAGCTAATAAAAAAATATTTCTCAAAGTTTAATTTACCCTAATCCTGCCTAAACGAATTTCAAGTGCCGCGGCTATTGAGGATTCCCTCTTGTTTTGGAGAGAATTTTAACAAAATTGAACAACGTGAAGTTCCAAACACCTTTTTCTGCTTTCTTGCGATAGAGTATAATGACATCTGATACCCACTAAAGGAAATAGCTCGCTGACAACTGAATCACAACATAAAAATGTTATTAACTAATGTGTTATAATGCAAGTAATTTAATTTTCTTATGCTACTTTTTTCTTTAAGTGTTGACTAGTTTAAGAGATATGATCAGGATTCATCTAATTGCCACTAAGCACCTGGCTTTCAGGGTTTGTTATCATTGAAACAACTTTCTTGTGATTATTAATTTAGTCTTACTTAGTTCATTATGTTTCATTGACACATGAATGATATGTTAAACGAGTCGTTTTTCTGAAAAAATGCAGTTTTTTTAATATTTAACACGTTGGAGCTTCGCAGTGTAGTTTAAACGTGTTGCTTTATTTCACACATTGATTAAGTAAAAATAGTTAAAACTATCATTTGTACCAGTTTACCGAAGGGATGCAGGTGAAAATTGCGAATAGTTTTATAATAAAATCTTATGTTTGCCTAATTGTAAAATGTGTCGATAAAAATATGTTTTAAGATCGTAAAATAGCGCTGAGATTGAACTTGAACCACCAGAACGATGCTGTTTTGGCAATAGCGTAAGCTCATGAAAAACTGTTTAAAATTTTTATTACATGCAGCAATACCATTTATATCCAAAAATACTAATATTCAGATAATTTAACCATAATACATTAAATTATACCATGTATTGGGTACAACAGTTACCACTGACGGGTCCTGACAAGATTCATGAGCGATGTCAAATATACTGGTAAAACTCAGAATTTAGTTTCATTGAAAGTGCTGATTTAGGTGATTTTAAATTGGTGTTGTTGTTCTTTTTATTTATAATAATGCTACATAAATTGCATTTTTACGCATCAATCTTCTGCGTAAGCCATAACATATGAATGCCAGATTTTGCATTGTTTACCCTGCTTGGATTATTGTGAAAGTAATTAGGCTTCAGGTGATTTATTACTCCTGATTTCAAATTATGAATGTTCAATAACATAATACGTGACACGATGTGTAAAATCTCAGGTTTGATATTTTTCACAATCTTATAGAAGGCGAACTAAACTCTGTATTTAATTGTTTGGATTAGAAACTTCAAACTAACCAAAATATATTTTCATAAGAAACCTAAAACTTACACATTCTATAAGAAGTGTTTGTTTGAACGTCAGTAAGACAAATCTATAACTATTTTGTTTTTCAGTACTTAGATTGGAGCTTTAACTTGTAGCACATAGACCTGCAATACAACATTTAATACAACACGAGAACTAAATAGCTATAATATTACCTTATTTATGTTTATGTTAAGTGCATATTTTGCACTAAAACTATACTTAAGCATAAAACGCAAATTGTTCGACAAATACTGTTTTACTCTCTCTGTAACTAACTCCTCTCACCATTAGTCGAGTTTCACTCACTATAAATCCAACTCCACTCACTATACGTCGAGTTTCAATCACTATATATCAAACTTCTCTCACTATGCGTTGAATTTTACTCAGTGTATCCAATTCCTTTCATTATACGTTGAGTTATACTTACTATTTATCCAACACCTCTCACTATACGTTGAGTTTTACTTACTGTGTAACCAGTTCTTCTCACTATACCATGATTTTTACTCAGTGTCTAACCAACTCCTCCCATTATATCATGTGTGACGGATTTATAATTCTATATTTATTTGAATATCGATGTTTGTTTAAATTTAATTTATATTTAG